TCATTCTGTGAGGCAAAATCCTACCAAACTCAGATAGAGGATCCTCAGTGGGGAAAAACAGAGAGCTTTTGCCTAATCAGGAACAAGAAAAGGATGTTCACTCTCACTACTGTTATTCAGTATACTATTGGAAGTCCTAGCCACAGCAATCAGACAATAAAAAGAAATAAAAGGCATCCAAATCAATAAGGAAGAAGTAAAACTTTCCCTATTTGCAGATGACATGATACTATACATAGTAAACTTAGAAGACTCCACCAAAAAACTACTAGAATTGATACACAAATTCAGGAAAGTTGCAAGATACAAATCAATGTACAGAAATCTATTGCATTTCTATACACCAATAATGAAGCAGCAGAAAGAGAAATTAAAAAAAAAACAATCCCATTTACAATTTCACCAAAAATAATAAGATACCTAGGAATAAATCTAACCAAAGATTAGATGTGGAAGACTTGTACTCTGAAAGCTATAAAACATTGATGAAGGGAATTGAAGATGACACAAAGAAATGAAAATGTAGTCCCTGCTCATGGATTAGAAAAATAATTATTATTAAATTGTTTTTACTACCCAAAGCATCTATACATTTAATGTAATCCCTGTCAAAATACCAACAGCATTTTTCACAGAACTAGAGCAAACAATTCTAAAATCTATATGGAACCACAAAATATACTAAATAGCCAAAACAATCTTGAAAAAGAAAAGCAAAGCTAGAAGCGTCACAATTCCAGGCTTCAAGGTATATTACAAAGCTGTAGTGATCAAAACAAAGCAGGAAGGAATATCCAATGGGAAAAAGACAGTCTCTTCAACAAATGGTACTGGGAAAATGGGACATCAACATGCGAAAGAAATAAACTGGACCGCTTTCTTACACCACACACAAAAATAAACTCAAAATGGATTAAGGACCTAAATGTGAGACTTGACACCATAAAAATCCTAGAAGAGAACACAGGCAGTAACCTCTTTGATATCAGCTATAGAAGCTTTTTTCTAGATATGTCTCCTGAGGCAACAGAAACAAAAGCAAAAATAAACTATTGGGACTACATAAAAATAAACAGCTTCTGCATAGCGAAGGAAACAATCAACACCAAAAGGCAACCTACAGAATGGGAGAAAAATATTTGCAAATGACATAGCTGATAAAGGCTTAGTATCCAAAATATATGAAGGACTTATACAACTTAACACTCAAAAAACAATTAATCCATTTAAAAACTGGGAAGAAGACTTGGGCAGCCATTTCTTCAAAGAAGACATCCAGATGGCCAACAGACACAAGAAACGATGTTCATCATCATCGCTTACCATCAGGGAAATGCAAATCAAAACCACAATGATCTATCACCTCACACCTATCAGAATGGCTAAAATCAACAACACAAGAAACAACAAGGGTTGGTGAGGATGTGGAGAAAAAAAGAACCCTCACGCACTGTTGGTGGGAATGCCAACTGGTGCAGCCACTGTGGAAAACAGAATGGAGGTTCCTCAAAAAGTTAAAAAATAGTATTACCATTACATCGAGTTATTCTATTACTGGGTATTTACCCAAAAAATACAAAACACTAATTCAAAAAATTATATGCACCCCTATATTTATAGCAGCATTATTTATAGTAGCCAACATACGGAAGCAGCCCAAGTGTTCACTGATAAATAGATTAAAAAGATGTGGCATAGATATACAATAAAATATTATTCAGCCACAAAAAATGAAATCTTGCCATTTTCAAGGACATAGATGGATCTACCGAGTATAATGCTAAACTACCTAAGTCATAGAGAAAGACAAATACTGTAGGATTTAACTCATATGTGGAAATTAAGAAGCAAAACTAAGGAGCAAAGGGAAAAGAGAGAGAGAGATCGAGAGAGTGAGAGAGTGAGAGAAATTAAAAAAACAGACTCTTAACTACAGAGGACAAACTGATGGTTAACAGGGGGAGCTGGTGGGGGATGGGGGGAGATAGGTGATGGGGATTAAGGAGTGTGCTTGTGGTGATGAGCCCTGGGCGTTGTACAGAGGTGTTGAATCGCTATGGTGTGCACCTGAAAGTAATATAACACTGTATGTTAACTAACTGAAATTAAAATAAAAACTTAAAAAAAAAGAAAAATGAAAAATTTTAATAATGCTGTTTCCCCCAAAACTGATTTTATATGCAATTAAAATGGTTTCAAAAGCTGCCTTTTGGTTAATGTTTGCCTGGTATGTCATTGTCCATTCTTTAACGTTCAGTGCTTTTGTTCTCATGTTTTAGGTATATATCTTGTGTCTTGCATAAAGCTGGACGTTCTTTTAATCCAGTATTAGAATCTTTGTCTTTTAAACTTTTGTTAGCACATTTACATTTTGTTTTGTCACTGTTGTATATGGTTTTATTCTATTATTGTGTGTGTGTGTGTGTGTGTGTGTGTGTATGTACACGTATACACTTCTTATTTGTCCTACTTCCCTCTACTCTACCCTCTTCTTTTTATTTTTTAAAACTAATTTGACATCTGTATTTTACTTCAATCCCCTGGATGATTTTCCTAGGCAATTCAAACGTGTTTTCAGTCTAAAGGATTTGATGCCGAAAAGCTCTGGTCTGAGCAGATCACTGGGCCAGACACTGCTTCCCATGACGTTACATGGGGCAGCTTCCAAGGAGGCCCCCAGACCAAGGCTCCAATGATGGCCACGGAGATGCTGAAATTGGCCAGGACCAATGACCTTTGAGGGTGTGGTTGTGTGCCTGTCCTGGGAGAAGAGAGGCTCTTGGACAAGGGCCCTGGGGCATCTATGGTGTGTGCCCTGCATAATTTTGCTTGTTCCCACTGGGACTTGACGTCTCCAACCCCACATGGTCCCACAACAGAGGTGTGGGGAGGAGGCCTGGGTGCTGGCCAGCAAGGACTTGACTTGGTCTAGCCATATGAGACCCAGCCTTGAACCTTCAAATTCAAGGTGTTTAGAAAGGCCTTCCAAGGTAAGCAGCTCTTAATTACCACCTGACAATTCACAGGAACACAACCCCACACAATCAGGAGTGTGAGGTGTCCTCAGAAACCACGCAGCAAGGAAAAGTCTTCCATGTGCAACACCAGTGAGGAAGCCTTCATTCCAAATGCCCTCCTTGTTTGGCACCGAAAGTTTTAAGCACAGAGAGGTGTCTGACTGCAATGAGCCTAAGAGATCCAAAGCTCCCACCTCTTTCCCGAAGTCCTCATTGTAGAAAGACCTCAGAGTGGGAAAGCCTTCTTCTGCAGCTTCTGTGGCACCGGTGACCAGAAGGTGACATGCTGGTAGGGATTTATGAGTGCAGTCAATGTGGCATGCTTCCAGCAGAGGAGATACACTTGGTAGTTCACACCGGAGAAGGTCTTTGACCATGGGAATGTGGGAACCCCTCAGCATACCTGTGCCCTTGCTCTGGAGAAATGTGTTCACACCTGGGTGGAACCTTAGGAGAACAGCCTTTGCAAGAAAGCCTTCAGTCATAATTCAACTCTAGGCACCAGAGTCGCAGTGGGGAGGGACTATGAGAGCCATCTGCATGCAAGCCTGCAGGGGCTGTGTTACATTCCCTGTCCTCCCTGGGCAGAGCTCTTTGACGCCCAGAGCCCACAACAGAAGCCTCCTCTCCATCCTGGCTCTGCTGGGATGTACATCCGCCACCCACATTGTCAAAGAAGGTGGCCCCTGTGTCTCCCCTGCCTGTTACTAGGTTAGGCACGGAACTCACAGGGTGGCCAAGGGGACCTGAGAGGCACTGTTGGCAGTTTTTGAGCAATGCTCCCTCGCTTCATGGATTTGTTTTAATTATTTTTTTTAATGTATTATTTTTAATTTTTAATTATTTTTTTAATGTATTATACACACATTGCATTTGTATGCATGTATGTATATCTCATTATATTTAAGAATTCTGCTCCATAAATATATACACTCTAACTTCATCCCAGTAGTAAACTTACAAGAGTGTATTATGCCTCAATACCTGCGAGTGACACACAAGTCATTATTTTTCTTCAGGATTTGCATTAATAAAAATCTGTTCATGGTCCTCGGCCCTGTTTGATGGAGAGTGATTGCTTGGGCTGCTCACTGCTACCTCAGTACTTTGCAATCACCCTGCAAATCGGAGAGAGAAGACGCGCCTAATAGCTGTAGCTCCAACATCATACCTGTTGCCACTGACAGACTTTATTCCTTAGAGGAGATACCAACCGCCAGCTGTCTGTGACAGTTTGTGAACTAACATTGACATTTGTGTTGGTACCGTAACGGTATTTACAGCTCAGGAGATAATATAAAATCAGATTATGATAGATCCAGGAATTTTTGAGGCAAAAAGTAAAACAATACACAAATTACCAACTTGTTTGGGATATAAAATTATTTAGAAAATCACTTCAGGACTCAGAGTCTCTTTCAAGAAATACCTCTTCTATGCGAAACATAAAGATATGCCCCAGGTTTGCACAGAGAAAAGGGATTGCAGAGAACAGAAGATGGTAATTCAGTTGTATAGCTGTTCATCCATACTAGATTTTCTAGTAGCCCGCTGTGTCAGAAAAGGAAAGGTAGAGATGAAGAAAGAAAGCCATTTTGAATGATGTGGGAATATAAATATAAAATATCACAGGATCGGCACAAAGATTAACTATATATCTTTGTTATTTTCTTTTTCTAGGCTCTGAAGTGGCTCTTCTTCATATTCCATGAATATCACTTTTTAAGAAGTTTAAATTGACATATTTCAACATAGTCACCTAAAGTGGTTAAGCCTCTGGGAAAATGACACTGGAAAGCAATGAAAAAGGTAGAATTTTGGGTGACTATTATAAAAGTTTTGAATCAGAGAACACTTTTGCTGGATACTATTATATGGAAGAAAAGTCAGCATTCTTGTCTCTATTCTCATTTCCTACTAAACCCTGAAGATGTCATAATGAAAAAAAAAAAAAAAAAGAAATGGACTTGACTGGGTACTTACGGCTGTAGTCCCAGGACAGCTTGCAGTTTGACATTCACCAGTCATCCGGTTTGGGATTAAGACATCGTCCCAGCAAGATGGACCCTTTGAGAAAAACAAACATGTACTTGGTGCATGAACTGTAACACAAAGGTACTCCCTAGTATGTTTTCTAAAATCTATTTCTACTATAAAATGATAATGAATAGTAATATGTCATCCAATGATTTTTGAAATGTAATCCACAGAACCTGGCAGTTCTCAAGATCCTTTTGGGGGATCTGGTGGATCAAAACTATTTTCTTAAATACACTAAGATGATGTTTAGCATATTGATCCAAACATGTGGTACATTCACACGTAATCGTCTCCCCACTGTGGTTAATTCAATGGTTTGAAAACTTAACTACTTTTCTTAAGTTCACTGCAATGTCAAATGATGACTTTTACATGAAAACATCTACGCAATTACATTCAAAAGGATTCTTCGGGGGCAGTCGTGGACCACGTGGCGGCATACCGGGAAGGGCCACCTGTCACAGCTGGCAGGCTGAGCGGACACATTTCCCCCACTCTCTCCTGAGGCACCACAAAAACTACATTTAAAAACTAGCTTGGTGTAAACCCATAATACCAAGGAGAACAGAAGACAGAGTATTGATTGAGAAGAAATTTCCATGCGTTTCTGGAAATCTGCAACAGGCTGCAGCAGAGGAGGGGCCTCTGTGCCCTGTGGGACCACAGCAAGTCTGAAGGCTCAAGAAGAAGGCATGGGCCACAACAGAGTGACGCCTGGAGCAGCCAACAGTGGGAAAGTGAGAATTTTCATAAATGGAAGATCCTAAAATCTTCTAGAGAGAAAGGTCAGATCCCCTAACTAGAAACAAAAATCAAAATAGAAATTTTAAGTAGTACAAATACCTTTAAAGATCAGAGGAAAGAGTTTTCAACCTAAAATTCTCTACCTAACTGAATTGTCAAGTAAGTGGGAGAATGGTGAGGAGTGATTTGGGGACACGCAGATTTGCCGAATTTACACGTGTGCTAGAAGGTCTAAGAGTTCAGGGGAATGTCAGACAGCTTGAGGGAAGGCAGGGAGAGGCCCAGCCTTGGCCTCATCCAACGTACGGCTCTGGGTAAGAGCCTCGGGACAGATGGGTGGTGTCTCTGTAGACACGGCAGAGAAGGAGGAGGACAGAAGGGTGGTGTCACCAGCTGTGGTGATGACAGCGCTTCCAGCAGGCGTGTTATAGGGCCTGTGCCCGGCCAGGTGGAGAAAGGTTAAGGTCAAGGGATGGCCGCCGTGGTGATTTTACTCCCAAAGACATTGGGACCCGCCAGAGGTTTATGTGAGCAGTGAAACTGGTCACCACCAGTCAGCACCAGGACCACCTTGTCCCACGAGCCAGACCAAGAAGCCTCCTGGCCATGATGCCGCACAAACCAGTGCAAACTCGGAAAGCACGCGAGGATCTCAGCCATTCCTGCGTCTCCGGGAGCGCTCGCTTCCCCTCCCCCTGCACCAGCACACGTACGCACACACAGGTGCACCAAGCACACACACGCACGTGCACACACATCAGACGCTCTAACACATGGGTACCACACACCCGCACCCACTCACGTGTACACACACACACAACACCACCACAGACCACGCACAGGCACACCATACACACACAGACCCACGCACTTACACGTGCACCCACATAATTTAGAGAAAAACAGGGGAGGGCAGAGGGAATCTTGGACATTGAGCATCTACCTTAAAGATACTAAGCCAAACTTCAACAGAGGCCATTTGAGCCAAACATCAAAAGGAGCTATGATCTGGATTCATAGGTCATTACACCAAAAGCCACTGCTTCAACCGCAAGGTTGTAAGCGACTGCAGAAAAGCCGGAGGCTTGCCGTCCTTAGGGAGACTGCTTCCACGGTGGCCCTGGGATGCCACTTGGGAATTTGCACTTGGGGAGTGTTCCCATTCGCTTAGTTACACAGAGGGTTTGCAGCATGAAAACTGTCTGTAGGAACAACCTGGTTTGTGCTGAACCCCTTACCCCCTGGGAGTCTGGAATTGTGCTAGGGAGGGGTATACAGTGACCAGCCTCCAGTAAAGCCTGGGTGCTGGGTAAACGAGCACGTCCTGTGCGGCTCTGCTGGGAAAGGGCTCTTGGAAACTTGCCTGTGGTTTCCTCCAGACTTCACGCCGCATGTCTTTTCCATCTGCTACTTTGCATCCTGTTGGCAGGATGAACCTTACTCGTGTGTAGGACGATACACCGAGTCCTGTAAGCCCTTCCAGCGATTCACCGAACCTAGACAGGCAAAGCCATCTTAGGGACCCACGACACAATGACATTGATTAATCAAGAACATACACCTCCATGGAAGGGTCAGGGTTCATGATGAAGATCACATCCGTTATGGGGAATAAGCAATTTCATTTCCTCTGTACCTCTAAGTGTAATGCATGCATTTCAAATCCATTGTAGTCATGGTGATGTAAACATTCCCTAGACTTTCAACCTTACATTCATACTACTGAGATTGGGCAGATGATTGAAATCACGGTTATGTAACCAAACATACATGCCATGCAGCTTGGGCAATGTAAAAGTAAAGGCATAAAGGTTACGAGTTGGATGGCAAAGGTGGAGCTGAGAGAGAAGGCGAAGGAGGGGATTAATATCCTCACCCTACAAGATGTTGCTTTTTTATCGTGAGGCCATCTGTATGTTTGATTTCTAAACATAGCCATATATTCATTTGGCCAAAATGACACACGTATCAGAGTAAAAGAAGGATAAAGAACTGACACCAAGAACTGGATCACATTTATCAGCCTTGCTTTTCCAACTTCACATGAGAAATTCAGCACAGACCAGCATGGCGGGGATACAGTCTCCCACGTCGTATTTCAATCCTTGGCCGAGGACCCATCTTGGAGGTTATGTTTGTTTGTTAATCCGTTTCTCTGTAGGATACTCCATGGATACTGGGAATCAGGTTTTTCTCATTTTTTTCTAATGCTTATTTATTTATTTTGAGAGATAGAGTGCAAACAGGAGAGGGGCAGACAGAGAGGGAGAGAGAGAATTCTAATCGGACTCTGCACTGTCAGATGCAGGGCCCAATTCCACAAACTGTGAGATCATGACCTGATCTAAGATCAAGAGTCGGATGCTTAACCGACTGAGTCACTCAGGTGGTTTCTTTCAATTTTAGAGGACTAGGAAAACTTTAGAGAGTCAAATCTGTGGCCCAGCTCTGGAAACTTTACATAACTTATAATAAATATTAGGTTTACTAATTTTACCTTTGCTTTCATATTATTTTTCTCAATTGATTTTTCTTGACCTCTTTCCTCATCTTATTTGGTTTTTCTTGTTTTTAGCCTCAACGTATTGTTGCAGACTTGTCAAATCCTTTTGAAGTGAGGCAGGGTATAATGAAATAATTGTGAAGGTCTCATGGCTTTCCCCTTTTAACTCTCCAACATTCCTGACCACTTCTAACAAAAACAGTGTCTTGTGTCTCTTCCATCCGGGACAGTAGCCACTCATCCTTAGAACATGGCAGTCTCTGGCGGGACAGCCGCGGGAAGCACTGATCACACGCTGTGGCTGGTGGAGACCGACAATGAACTGAGGCATACTTGAGGCTTGGAAAAGTCCCTGGTTGCAAAGGAAATCCATTTCATCGTGGATAACCATTAACTAAACATGGAGACATTGCTTCCTTGCTCTATCAATAGCCTTTCGAGGCTGGTTCAGGAAGCACTGACCTACTTAAAGCACATGCAATGGTAAGAGATAAAGCTAACATGGGCACAGTCTGGGGACAGAGGAGTAACATAGGGGTTAGGGCCCATTTGCATTCATTTCACTGCCCAGAGTAGGATTCCCTGCCGCAAAGTCTAGGATGAAATGAAACTGTGCATCACACAGATATTTATTTTTCATGCCTTAATATTTCAAAGTCCAAGAAGCAATGAAAACATTTATGTAACAATTCCTATAATTACCTTATAAGATACTACTTTATCTGATAAGTCCTTGTTTTGTACGAGGAGATTATAGAAAGCCCATTCACAATATTCTTCTTGATCTCAAACCATAACCAGATAACATAAGTAATAAAGCCAATAGAATTCCGATGACTATGGGAATTCAGCATAATGAAATCAATGTGTTAGCTGAGCCACACTCCTCACAGCATCGGTATTGAACGCTATTGCTGTACCCATCCCGAAAATAGAAACAAGTGTGCCAGTGAATTTATGCCATTACAAAGCAGATTCAATGTTGCCGCTTTCGAGTCTTAGGAAATATAAAATGTTAATTGGTTCATCCTTGCATACTGTGTTTTAACAGATGCATGGTTAAAGCATTTATTATTAATGGTTTTTATACGGGGGTAAAAAGGTCTCCAGGCTACAAGATTTAAAAGGGACTGCATATCACACGGCAGCCATGTCAGGGAGAGAATTCCCCCCAAAATGTATTTAATCTCTCCAATGTAAAGAATGGGAGAAAGATATCTGAAAAAAATGTCACAACAGTGGTGAAATACATGTCTTAATAAAGGATCATTTGGCTGCTTTTTATAAAACTTCCTCCTTTTTTTTAGCTCAATATTGATTACACAATCAAGACAATACATAAATTATCTGAGCATCTATAGCAAGGGGGAACAATCTGTGGTCTGCTGACTGACTCCAGCCTAGGGTTTGTTTTTACACAGAAAAAACAATGGTTTTAGATTTTTAAATGGCTAAAAAGCGCAAAAAGAAGAGTGTTTCATGGCACATGAAGAGTAAGTGATATTCAGGATTCCGTGTCTGCACGTGAACTTGATTGGAGCACGGCCATGGTCGCTCATGTGCCTGTTGTCTATGTACTGCAAGGGCAGAACTGAGTTGTTTCAACACAGAGGAAGTGGCTTGCAAAACCTAAAATCCCTACTATTCTGGTCCTTTATGGAGAACGCTTGCCAATCGTTGACCTGGGATAAATACAGTTTTCCAAGTTCATACTGAAAAGCACTTAAAAAAAACAAAACAAAACATTGCAACAGCATTTTGACCACCATAGAATCTCACT